GTTTGGAATCCCTGATGGATGACAAGGACAAAGAGCGGTGATGGATGCAAAGGTCAGTCTGAATGATGCAAGCGCTACAGGTCTACACCACTTCCAGCAGCTCCATGCTTCCTCCACTCCTCCTTTCGCTTCGTCATTTCCCCCCCGCTGAAACTCCACCCTCTCCATTCTCTTTTTGCATTCTGACCACACGCCAGACGCACCAACCCAGAGTGACCGCCCGTAGCTACGATCAGTGTGTGCTTAGTCATCCCTTCTGCTGGTCTTTGAAGCTCGCGGGCGACAATTCCTGAGTCGCACCAGTTGCGCGCACCAAGCTCGTGACTGAATGGCGCTTCTTGCTGATTTTGCGATCCCTTTCAATCGCTCGTCTTTCACCAACCTTGACGCGTACGTAATGCGATGCGATGCGTTAGCGACAGCCGCAGGTAGCATTGGGGTGACGCTTGTGTGAAGACAAGACTGTGACTTGCGGATCTGCGTTTCGTGCTCAGCGCCGTTTCCAGACGGATGTTATCAGCGTACAGGAGTCCGCCAAGGGAAGAGGACAAGAATGCTCTCGAATCGCTCGAGAAACAAGAAAGTACTTTGCGCCCTTACTTGGAGAAGGCGTTTTGATTTTTGAAAACAAGAAGCACACCCAACGTTGACGAGCCAGCGGCGGCTCAGCGAACCAGTCGTGAGATCACGTCTCTCACTCAATTTCGGGCGTGACGATCGGGATAGATTGGTTGCAAATCGAGAGACGGGGCTGCATCGAAAGATCTTACAAAGGAGTGATGGGGTCAAGGAATAGTTGCGGCTAGAAGGGAAAAAAAAGGAAACAGAAGAGAGTCGAAGGTGGGATTGAACGACGGACAAGTTCTATGTAAAAAGGCGTCGCTTCGCAGAGCCAGCTGCTTTGGGCGAGGGTTGAGCGATGTCGCTCGGACAGTGTGCTGTATATCGCGGGTGACTAGGCTAGCTAATTCGGCGGAAACGTCAAAACGTGACTAAAGGCGTGAGAGTAGAATATGATATGGCGTGAAGTGGAGTGGACTGATTGCCTGAAAGGATGGCGAATGGCAGGCAGAGACTTGATCACCAAGCCCTCTCTTGTTGCTGTCGCATTTGTGCAAGGTGGTGCTGAGCCCAAGGATCGGACGATAGTCCATCGTTGTGATGTGGTTCCCCACCATCCTCGACCCGTCGAGTGGCGGTCCAGCTGAAACTGCTCTGGGGCGAGTCCAATCCGCTCTCTTCACCGTACAAGTGGTGTGCGGAAGGGTCTGCTCCAGGTGTTACGCTTCCGCTACCCGCGCAGGCTTTCGTGGCTGCGGCAGCCGCCTGGACCGCTCCGCTCTGGCCAGACAAGAGGTAACCGCCCAATCCGGAGAAGGCGCTCGTAAGCCCGCCGAGACTCATCCTGCTGAGCATGCCGCCAGCAGCTGCTGCAGCATCAATCGTCTCGGCGGCGTGCGCGTGGGCGTAAGCGCTCTTGGCGACAGGAGGGCGTTGCTGCGCAGGCATACCACCGCTGGAGACCCGCATAGAGACGCGCGGGCTGTGGTCGTAGCTCTCGACGCTGCGGCGTTTGCTGCCTGCATAGCTATCGCGTGAAGACTGCTCGACGTAGAAAGGTGGCATCTCGAGCGCTGCATCCGGAGTCGGCAAAGCTGGCAGTGGATCTGTGCTGTCCAAGGCGAGCAGCCCGAAGAAGTCATCCGAGCTCTGTTGACGGCGACGGCGAGGTCTACTGGCGCGAGACTTGGTCGTAGTCTCAACGACAGCAGGTGCGCTCTTGGGAGTCTTTCCGCGGGAGCTTGCCCTCTGCTGACGCTTTGCCGCAATCGAAGACATAGCCATTTCAAAGGACCACTCGCGAATGAACTCGGGCTTAGCAGACCGAGCACGCTTCATGGCTTCCTCTTCCTCATCGTCCGCATCGCTCTCGTCGTAGTCCTCATCGATGGCTTCGTCAACTTGTTCCTCGTAACTGTTACGAGGAGATGCCGGTCCGTGACTGCTTTCGGTGGATGAGCAGCTCGAGTGGCTCGCAGTCGGCGTGAGGGGTTGACCGTCGACAGTCAAGACGGGAACAGTCTTGTCGAGGGTCTTTCGAATGGGAGTGGAATGCTCGAGGTCAGGTAGCGATGAGGACTCCTCGGCGTCGTAAGTGCCACCGGCTTCGAGATCGGGAGCTTCTCCGACGGACTGGGGTCGTGCGAGCGGTGTACGCGCAGCGTCTGACTGCTGCTCTTCCTCCTCAATCTCGGTCAATGTTTGAAGACTGCCTAGCCCGTGAAGAAGATCCTCATTGCCATGATCGTCCTTGAAGTGGTCCTCATTGTCGCCGTGCTCGTACTCTGAGGGCACAGTGCTAGCAGTGCCTGCAGCAACGCTACCGCTGCCCATGGAAGTGCTGCCCATGCTGCTATCGTACGCAAAGACATGTCGCTTTGTCTTGCTTGCGGTCGTGCTCTTCTGCGTGGCAGAGAATCGGCGAGGAGGGCTGCCTGCAGAGCTGTGGCCGGCGCTCTCCGTCTCGCCGCTATTGACGGTCGTGTTCAGCGTAGGCTCGCCACGGAGTCTGGCATTCTCTTCGCGCAGCGCGTCCAGCTCTGTCTTAGCGCTGACATGCTCGGTACGCTCATGCTCCAGCGTACCGGCGAGGTTGAAGATCTGCTGTCTCATCTCCTTGAGCAGCTTGATAGCTTGCGGAGGAGGTGCAGATGGCTCTGCGCCAGGGTGCGGCGAAAAGTAGCCATTCTGCTGCACCACTGGGCTGACCGAGCCGAGCGCGGGACTACGCAACACACTAGCGAGATCAGCAGGGAGACCATCCTCGAAAGTCTCGTCGGCTTGTGCCTTCGGGAGCTCGATACCAGCTTCCTGCAATTTTTGCGTAAGCATTTGAATGCGCAGTTTTGCGGTGGCATTAGCGCGTCTCTCTTCGTCAGCAGCCATGCGCTCGGTGCGAACAGACTTTTCCAGATCGCCGCAGCGAGTGCGCCACCCGTCAATGTCTTCCTGGAGCATGTCTCGCTCTGCCTCGGCGTCCTCGAGACGCTCTGCGTGCGTTTTCAGCTCTGTCTCCACAGACTCGATGCGTCCAAGAAGCTCCGTTTCGCGGGTCAGTGCTGAGTTTGCGCTTGCCGCAGCCGCTTGTTCGAGATGCTCGATGCGAGCTCCGAGCGTCCTCTTCTCTTCTGCGCTCCAGCTCTCCAGCTCGGCATACTCGCGTGCAGACCGTTCCTTTTCCACAGCGAGCTCATGTGTGAGACGCTCGACTTGTCTGCGACTAGCTTCAAGCAGACCGTGCTCGCGTTGCTGCGTAGCTTTCAGTTCGTCGAACTGGACTTGCTTGAACGACGATGCACCGGTTGGCGCCGCCGTTGCAGGCGGATTTGGACGCTCGGATGCAGGCGGCGAAGGCAACGAATCAGATGCATTGCCAACAGCAGCGGGAGCAGATGCTGGAGTGGGAGTGCTCGATTTGTAGTGGATGCTGCTACGCCGTCCTGCGCCAGGCGAAGGACCGTTGGATTCCCTGAGTACTGAGGGCAAACCTTGGCCCAAGTCTTGCGCGGCCGCAAGAACAAGGCTCTGACGACGTCCGATGGGTACAGCACCGGAGGCTACCGACATCGAGACAGATGAGGCGGTCGTGTTGTTGCTGGCAATAGAACTGAGGGAATCTGACTGTCCCTTGTGTTCGTTTGAAATGCTGCCCAAGCGGAGTGTGCGCATGCCTTGTCGGGGCGCCGGGGCGGGCGCTGGAACAGCAGGAGATGAAGTAGCGTGCATGTTGAGAGCAGCGGTCGAGGGCATTGAAGATCGCCAGCTGCGTTTCACTTCAGTTGTAGCGACGGCGGCTTGCTGTCTCTGCGTGACGTCGGCTCGCGCTGTCGCTAGCTTTCGCTGTGCTGAATCCACCGACCAGTCTTGCGGCGCTTGCGTTGAGCTTGCGCGTGGTGTTGACGACCAAGGTCGCTCATCGACACTGATATCTTGCTCTTCCTCCTCCTCTTCACCAGATATGGCAGCGAGGTGGGGCAAAGAGTTGCTCGCAACGATGCCTCCATTGTTGACAGAAGATTTGAGCGTGCCAACGTACAAGCTTGCCGGTCGACTTTTGAGCTTGAACGGGTTGGGATTCAGGCTGGCGCGCCGGTTGCGCTTGACCGTTTCTTGCTCTTCCGCGCGGTCGCGGCGCTTCTTCTCGGCTTCCTCTGAGCCAATGTCGAGCGAGCCCCGTTCCCGGACAGGCGAGCTTGCCGCGCTCTCTTCCTCCTCCTCCTCCTCTTCCATCAGCGTGCCAAGACCTTCAACGAGAGGAGCGGCATCAGTGTTGATTCTGATGGACGAGGGTCGTGCACCGGGCGTGCCGTCGGTAAGTGTAGAGGGCGCAAGATGGGATGTGAGGCTAGAACGAGCAGCGGAAGCAGAGGGCTCTTCTGAAGATGTCGAGGCCTCGTTCGCTTCGAGCAAGCTAATGCTCTTCCTCTTGTCCATTGCATCCGTGCCGTGCACGTCATCAAAGCTTGGTAGCTGCACACTGCTTGGCCTCGACTGACGATCGTTGTAAGCATTGTCGCCCGTACCCTGTTCGCGCGAGGTCGCAGGTGAGGTGCTTCTGCTTCTGCCCTCAAGCTTTTCCAGCGCAGTGAGCCGATCGCTAGAGTCATCTTGCGGCGCAGCTTCTTGCGTTGCGCCCAGCTTTCTCCAGTCGAAGTCATTCTTGTGAATGCCCGATGTGCGGCCAGCGCGCTGAGCGCTGTCGGCAGATGCACCACCACCAAACAGCAGACTGGCTGACAGAATTCCGCTGTGCCGGTTCGAACTCATTTGACGGCTGTGGCGACGTGGACTCGCTCCAACAGAGTTGAGCGCGCTGTCTGCAACACCAAACGTGCCGAGGCCAAGACCACCCATGATCTCCATGCTCTCGCGTCGGGTGCTTACGCTCGTTTGACGAGAATGACGACTGGGTCGCCGAGCATGAGTGAGTGGAGTGTCTGCTGAAATAGATGCCTCGGGTTGTCTTGGCTTTTGATCGACGTCCCTCCATTCACCTACAGCGAGAGGTTGCGTTTGCTGTGTGCCTAATGTCGAGCCGGCGAACAACAAGCTGGCAGGTCGATAGCCAGATCTTGCGCGTGATCCGCTTCGACTGTGACCGCGCGTATGCGTGTGGGGCGTCGAGGCGACGAAAGTGGTGTTGGCTGAGCGTGCAGGGGCAGACTGAGGAGCTACGGTAGCGTTCGAAGGTGCCGGAGAAGGCGGCAGAGCAGTGCTAAAGAGGAGCGATGCGGGCGACGGCGACACCGCGCCTATGGAGATGCTGCCATTGCGAGAGTGGCCTCGAACATGACCTGCTCTTGAGGTGGAGCGGGTGTGACTTGTGGGTGGTGGGACGGTGGGCTGGGCTGATGCGCGAGGCGAAGAGCTGGATGCCAATGCACTGCTAGAGCCTGACGAAAGTCTTTTGCCCAGCATGGAGTTCGGCCTTTCAGTGACGCTCAGTCTCGACAAGCTGCTGGAAGACTCGGAGGGTGCGACAGACTCGGTAAGAAGAGACACTCTCTTCTTTTCCACCGCCGCTTGCTTTGCTCTGTAGCTTTTTAGCTGAAATGTTGCGCGCGAGTGGTGGGCATGTGTCAGTCAAGGCTCGATCGCGCCCTGCGACAAGCTGAAAATATTGCACTCCGACACTGAACTCACCTTTTTGCGTGCGCTTTGGATGCGTTGGTCTCGCTCCTTGGCTTGGACGCTGCTAGATGCGACAGGCGAGCCCACCACCAATTCAACCGCCGCGGGTGCGGAAGCTGGCGGAGTGTGCATCATAATTCTCTCTGCGATGAGATTGGAGGCAAGAGAGGCTCAAGCGTGGGCTTGAAGATATGTCACGTCTTGACAGCAGCTGACTCTCGACAGCTTGGATGCCGATGCTGTTGCAAGGTTGATGTGAAGCAGGACTGCTGGATGCAGGTAGAATGTCGAGTGTTTGAGTTCAATGGAGCCAAGTCCTTGATCTTGTCGGGCGGACGTGTGAAATACAGGATGGTGAAGCGTCGTGCGCAAGGAAAATTGGTCTGAAGTAGACTGGGCAGCTAGTGAAATCGATTCAAAGCGCGAAAGCTGCTGGGTCGATGTGTCGATGTGTCGGTCGGTCGGTCGGTCGTGAGCGAGAAGGGGAGAACGAGATCAGATCAAGATGAAGACGTGGACATGTGAATCAAGGGGCCGGCGGGTTGGAGGTGCGATGTTGTGGTAAAACAGGTACCGGTATAGCGACCGATTCAGCGAGCGGCGTACTTTTCGTCGTTGTCCACCCGCGCGCGCAAGGCATGAATGAGCTGCTGCTGCGTGCATGCTAGCCGCTGGGCGCGAGTATCGATCCAGGGGCCGGGGTGCGAGCAGGGAGACGCGGTGAGATACCGTGCCGCCGCCGTGTCGCAACGTTGACGACCGCTCATCAGCTCAGTTCGAATCCACTCGAGATTAATTGCGGCCTTCTGACTGCATGCCGCAACACACGCGCAAATGTGATGCTGCCTGCTCCTGTGCCTGACTCCTCTCGCTGCGCGCTGGCGCTCTGTCGCGGCACGCTGATGCAGAACTCACTTACTCAAGACTGCTCGGGCACCGCTCGAATCCTCGCATCATGCATCTAAACCGTGCATCCGCGCAAAGGAAGGTGCAACGCAAACAAGCCCGCCCGACCAGGCGGCCCGCCGCGCCAGCATGATGCGCATCCATGCATCCACGATTATTTGTGATTCACAATCAATTCACATTAGGATTCGTGACTTGCGTGCGTCAGGCGTAGGAAAGCGTGTTATGACTGCAGCCACGACTGCACAAGCACCCGTGTGAGGTTCTCTGGAGAACCGCCATCCACTACCATGATGCCGTGATGGCGCATCAATCATGAGACTCATGGCCGCAACAAGCGAGGTGATGAGCGGGCGAAACTTGCACGAGCTCACTCAGACTCATTCTGATGAGGCTATACGCCCAATGTCACATCTGCGCAGAATCATGGCTTGTGTGTGAAGCCATGCAGCGCGTCTGCATGCCGTCTGTACGGCCGCCGTTATATCGTGCTCCTTTGCTCTCGAACAGCTTCTTTGCGCGAGCCGCCTGCTGCGCGCGTATCCGCCTTCCGATGTCGTCACCCGCGGCGGCGAGTTGGCGGCTTGCATGCACTCGTCAATGCAGCATGCACGCGTGAGTAGGTGCGTGCGTGCAGCCATGAGTGGAGCAAGGGAACCTAGAGACAGTCGTGAGTGAAATTGTTACTATGCTACTCTGCTGCTCAGAAGCTAACACTGACGCTGACGCATCAGCAGTCGTATAGACTGCATCGACAAATGCAAGCAACACGTCAGTCGCCGCGGCGTCTGGTCTGCAACGGCGCCTCCGCGCGTCATGCGTGCAGCTTGCAGCGCCTCACACAGCCGGCGACGGAGCACGCACGTATGCCAAATGCCCACGGCGAGCCACTCAATCAAATGTGCATCGAACAATCTGAATCTGAGAGTATTGTGATGAATTGTGAACGTGAATTGAAATGCCATGCACTGCACTGCATGAGTGACTCGAGCAGCAGCCTCGCAGGCAACATTAAACAGAACTTCAGACGTGTTCGTGAATTGTGATTCGTGATTCAAGTAGTGCGATCGCACACTCAGTCAAACCGCTCGTCAGGCCCACGCCTGACTATAGCGACTCAAGACTGTGTCAAGCTTCGTGATTGGCCTGCATGAAGGGCAGCAGCACTCACGACTCGTGACTGTTGCCGCGCGCAGTAGCCCGCAACGACTCGTCCCATCAAGCCCGATCGAGCAGGCCATGCTTGCACGCTTCTGGAACGGCAACGGTCAGGGTTATAGAGCGTTATGGCAATCACAATCTTGGATTCCAATTCGATGCCATGACAATTTCGAGGCGTCTTACGACGCTCGATCAACGTTCGGCAAAGAAGAGAGAACTCTTCTCGAGATATAGGCTTGCTGATCATGAATGAGCCTTTGCAAAGCCAGGTAAACGTCTGCCAGCGCAGACGCTATGGACAATCAAGTCGTGAGTCGAAACGCCCAACGCACTCTGCATGAAAAGTCTTCTTCATCACTTTATCCACATATATGCTGTAGGCTTTGCCTGGAGATGTTTCGCTTTCGCGCAGATTGATCCACATTTTTGATTGCATGGGCGGCCCAAGGTGGTGAGACGTTGTGCGGAAAAGTTTCAAACTCGTTTGGGGCAGACGCGTCTGCGCCCATGTACCCACCTACCATCCTCCCACACCATCCAGAAGAGTGTTTCGTGATCATGAGTGGTGAAGGTCTACGCCTCATTCGATCCAAAGGAGGACCTCCGCGTTGCCCAACTCGAGTCACACTCACAAGCAATGTCGTCAAGATCGCGACAACTCAAAAATGAGCTCTACACAAAGTTACATGTAGAGCTCATTTCTCATTCGTTGGACTGCTCCTCAGGGAACCGGAGGGAGGGAGGGGGGGATCACAGACGCATGCACCGTCCGATCGAAGCTGTCGCCGTCGCAATCATTCGCATCCAGATTGTGCAAATTTGCATGTGATTGGGCAGGCAAAACAGCAAACGCAATCCTGCGCAACCACTTTGTCTCTCGGCGGAAAATCGGGAGAGAAAAGTCAGAGAGAATGCAGCAATAAAGCGCAAGCCACAAGTTCATGTTGCGTTCGAGTGGCCTTCGTCTGAAAACGAAGATCACAAGAAAAGAGAGCCAATCCCTTCGAAACGATGTGAATGCTGATGAGAGTGCGTCAGTGTGACTTTGTGTTGGACCAGAGTCGCTGAGAGTACAAGATTTTTCAGACTTTTCCGCTGCCAATCATTTTCGCCTGCGCGATGGAAGAATCTGTGCGAAGATGACAAAGTGCCTTTCACGAGAAGCTTCTGAACATACAAATCTTGGGAGAAGCTCTGGTCAAAGCTACTACTATATGCTGCCAGCGCACGGATCAATGTGGCCGTGGCCCACGGTGCACGGTCGTCGTGACTGAGAGTTGGACTAGAGTAGAGCGAATTTTCTACGCGGCGTGTTCAGCAGGTGCAACTTCCAAACACGTGGTCAAAAATAGTCGTCGAGTCGGCGTCGAGGCAGCCTTTCGACGCTCGTGCACGCGTTCGTCTTGTCGAACAGGGTCATTCAGGATGGGTATCGTCATTGTCATTTCGCAGTCTTGCGGGCAGCCAAGCCCTGCAAGAATGCGAGGGCTTCCCAAGCCAAAATTGACGTGTCAGAAGAAGAGGATTGTCTGCCAAGCACCCAAAAAACGCTAGACTCACCATTGGTCAGCGTAGTGAACCTTCGTACATCTCCCAGCGCTGCTGGTCTTCCTTTCAGCTTGGCGACTGTGAAGGACAGCTACACGATGATCGGCGATGCATCAGCAGCTCGATGATGGGGTGGCGGCGTCCCACCCGAACTCACCAGTGCGACAAAGACCTGAGTGTGTGAGAAAGTATGAGAAATGAGGCGAAACGTGAAATGGTGTGGCGCGAGCTACTGGAGACGACACTCACGTTTCTTCGTGACTCAAGAGTCTCCTTGGGTGATTCTTCTGAAGCATCAGCAGCTTGCCTAAACGCGGGCTGCCAAGCTGATTTGCAATGCTCTTGATGGCTCCTTATTCCAAGTATCGCGACGGTGTCATCTAACACGAGCTCTATAGCGAGCACAAGAAGGAGCAATTCCAGCCTGACGGCCTGTCGCACTTCAAAGCTCCTTTCCTCGCCTGTGGGACGAGCAGATGTCCAGCACGCCAGCACTCTCGAAGCTGCCAAGCTTCGTTGCGCCTTGGTCGCGTTCGCCAAAGGTGGCAGTTGCCCAACTTTGATCGTGGCCGAGCGACAGTCGACCTGCTCATTCGGCTCTGGCCACGCCACTTTCCGGCTGGGTAAACCTGTGGCCGAAAATGCACGAGGTGGCCAAGGAGAGTTTGGCGGGCTCAGTGTAGCATCGCGGAACTTGGCTCGAGGCACAGGAGGGAATGGCAGAGGAGGCAATTCGTCCGCCCCGTGCAAAGCATGCGCATCACCTCCAATTCCTAGATCCGAGTCAAAAGATCTCATCACAGCTGAAACTCTGCAGCGCAAACCGTCAATCCGGATGGGCATCTCTGCGTCCTTGTGCGGCTCTTCAAAGCAGCTTGGTGTCTGTTTCAAAGTAGTCTGAGGCCAGTAATTCAGCAGATGACACGGCAAAATCAGTGGAGTCATCACGCACCTCTCGATGAAATTGTATCACTTCGGCAAGAATGTGGGTGAGGTGTGCAGAGGACCTCAAGCCATGAGGCGTATTCTCTCTGAGACCCAGGCATCGCGACTCGGTGGTCGTGAGAAGGTGGAACATCCGGAGTCGGTGGACCTCGGGACTCACGAGTCTGTCTGAGTCGTCTGCAGCACTGAGCAGACTCCTCTATCGTCGCAAGCATGTACGAGCGGTCGCGAATCGCACAGGGACGTAATCCCCTTGATCTCTGTTGACATATGCATGAATCAGCAAAGGCGGGGCCACCTTCAAGCCACTATTGGTGGGTTGCCGCTCACTGAAGCACAGAAGCTGCAGATCCTCATGACTCGCACTTGCAGACCCAAGCCGAGGGCCAGATCCAGCAGGGCAACCCACATGCATCAGGTTCGCATGTTTCAGAAGACCTTCAGCTTCACCGAACGTTGCAGCCGATGCAGCGTTCTGGCCTATCTCCTGCAAATGCAGCTGAACGGTAAATGCTAAACCAGTAAGCCAGCGTGTGTTGGAGCGCTGGCGCAAACGAACTACTTACCGAATCGCTGATAAGGGTAGACACGTGAACAGTGGTCAGAGGAGAGTAAGAGCGATCCTGCAGTCTTCGATTGGAGCGGTGACAAACATCGCGCAACTTGAAATAGAAAGCCTTGGGCTCAGGTAGGTAGGCATTGGGGCACCATGATAGGGTCAAGGCGGTCAAGCTCAAAGCAAAGGCCAAATAAGTCTTATCTTGCGCATCCCTGCGGTGCAAAAGGTCGTGGGCGAAGGTAGGCCAGTCTACCAGAGGAAGCGATGTCCAAAGCATCTCCCGGTACATGCCTAGAACCTGCAAGAAGCACTGGCGCGGTGCGATATCCTCGAGGCATCTTGGTCGACTCGAAGGCACATGTTGAAGTGTAGAGCCTGGAGCAGCTGCTGAGAAATGACAGCCAGGAACAAAGGTCAGTGCGCGGCTACGTGCTCGCCCTTTTGGAGCGTTGCCTAGCCAATGGGTATCATCGGGGCCGTCTTCCGGTGAAGCGAGGCCACTTGTAGGCGCGCTCTTGCTCGTTTGCTGCACGTCGTACGGGCAAGCGATAGCGGGCCACATCGAAGGCGTTTGTGCTCGCAACCGGAATGAGAACCCATTGTCCTGAGAGAGAGCGGACATGCTACTGTGGGCCTCGTTGGCATCCACGGTCTGCTCGAAACCGGCTGTAAGCGGGTGCGGCGGTGGGGGTATGCTGCCGCCATAATGCTGGAACAGCATTTTAGTTGCGCTCCCATCCTGTACGAAGCCCGAGTCGTGAGCTGAGCTCGTCAATGAATCAGGCAACAAACTCTGCATGGCGGTAAAGGCTTGGCATGTGCTGTATTCCGCTCTGACAGGACCGAGGGCGCTGAAGGCTCCTCCGGTCTGACGGCGTACTTTGCTCGCACTGTAAGTCGTGACAGTCAGCAAGCGCTCAAGAGTGCACGCGGAAGACATGCTGAGCTCACGAGCTTTGTGGACCGGGTCTTTTTGGAATGTAGTCATAGGTGCAAGAACTTGCAACAGAGAGGTCGCCAGAGGTAAACTCATTTGCGTCTCAAAAGCGCGAGGGCGCCACTCACCCATCCACAGATTGGCATGGCAGGCAACGATGGTCCGTAGTGGAGCTGTCCGGCGGCGTGCGCGTGCAGCGTACCTTGCGTGAACGGCAATTGTCGCTGAAAGGGCATCTGGGTCAAGTCACGCTCTCAACGTACTTCGCTGACTTTGCACTCACCAACTTTGCGGACGCTGGGCATCCATCATTCGAGCGCCGTGATTAGATTGGCGATCATGTCATCGCGACAGTGATACTCTCGTTCAAAGCTCACCTTTCTCTTGAAACCTTGTGAGGGTTGCGGTCCAAATTTGAGGTTATTTTCAAGCAACTCTGGCGATATTAGCTGGTTCGTCACGTTGTGATCATCGTGTGGGCGGGACGTTTGAGCATCTCCGAAAAGACGAGGGTCGCAATCTAGAAGAAGCGGTTGCCCAAAATTGTTTAGTGCAGGAAGGGGAAAGTGATCGGTCTGGCTTGGGAAGGGTCCGCAAATTTGCGAGGGCGGTTGAATGCTGACGTGTGGCTCGATGAGGGGATGAGCGACGAGCGGGTCATTACTTGGCCCTGACTGCTCGTCGCTCGGCGATATTTGCCATTCGGATGGCCACTGCGCGGTGGTACCGTCCCACGTTTGCATGCTCGGCGCGAGCAGCAAAGTTCTGTTGTCACACGTCGATGAAGGTGAAGATCGCCAAATTGAGTGGGAAGAAGTGGAGCGTGAGGGTGCTTGGATCCTCCACACCGTGACTCGCCCTTTGATGCTTCGCGGCAATCCATCCAAGACTGTCGTGCCGTTTTGGGGGTCACGGTGAGCCAAAACGGCAAGCGGAGCTGCTGTGCTTCAGGTCTGTACGAGTGTGGGGGCTTTCTGGTCGAATGGGTTGAGTCGAGGTAGCGCCGAAAAAATGAATGTTGCCAGTAGAGATAGCTTCGGCGCACAGGTGTCTCGTTCTACTCAGTACGTTTTGCTCCTGTTAAAGGCCTGCACGACGTTCAGGTGTGGGCGCGTGCAACGGCCGATGCGAAGCTCTCCTGCTGTGTCGTGAGATGCATGCAAACCATGAATCACGAATGCGGGACAAGGAGTACGGTGCCTTTGATGGTGGTTTCAAGACAAGACGCGCAAGTGACGAGTCGGGCAGGCATGTCTCTCCTTGCCAAGCTCTCGAAATCCTACTCACCACCTATGATTCTGATTGCGCACAAGTCACCAAAGCATTTTATCGACCATTCGGTCTGAGCGGAGCAAAGTCATATGATCACGAATGCATTCCCGCGGCTGCACTCTGACTGCACCGCCTTCTTGAAGAGCTCTTGAAGTCGCCAGATGCTCACGACTCATGACTCATGAGAGTCTTGCAACGGATACGCTGCCGCGATGCCTGATCAATCACCAATCAGTTTGAGGGACCGCCGTGACTCGCATCCTGCCTATGCTTGCTACAATTCGCGACTCGCTTGCACCGAAGAGCAAAATTCGAACAATGTGAAACTTCACATCTTCGACAGTGTGAGTGACTGACGCACGCACAGCTTTGTGCACACATGCTGTATCGGCAACTCTTGATTGACTCCAGTCCTCGATTGCACGAATGCTTGCATGACGAGCTGCCTGACACCTCATCAGCGAGCGTTGCATGCATCTCTGAACCATGATTACTTCTTGATTGCGCTGCGGCCCAAAACTTCTCAAACGCCATCATCGAGTAGATGGGCTTGCGATCCCACACTGCGCAGACATCCACGATGGGCACAACCTCGGTCTTCAGTGCCCAAAGTCCACTCTATGCTCCGACGACTCTCAACATTCCCGCTTCAATTCTTCGACGGCACGAAAGTTGGCAAACGCACGGCAATGGCGTCTTGAATTGAAGAGAGCAGCGATATGCCCAGTCTTCTCGCCGGCCGATCTTTCGCTGCGCTTCTTCTGTGATGCCAGCATGCGGACCAAGAATCGGGATGTGGCTTGAGCTAAGGATATGTAGGGAGGGAGGCGTTGCATGGTGGATCCATATGGCGGTCTCACTGCTGTGATCGTGCTGTTTTGCCTCGAAACTCTTGCTTTCGTAGCCACGCTGCCTGATGCTCTTCTGTCCCATGCTGCTATCGAGCTCGGCGTTGATGCATGCCGCCACTACCACCTGAACGTGTAGACAGCAGCGTTCAGGGAAGGAAGGGAACTTAATGAGACATGATGACCCAGGTATCGGTGCCGCATCGCGAGACAAGATCGAAATCTTAACTCACAGTCTCCTCCTGACTCTGAATTGTGAATGTTGGGAGCAGAAGCTGCTGCCATCATGTTCTGTCCTCCAGGATCGAGGTGTGCAGCAAGAAGCAGCAAGCGGAACAGCAGGTGTCGGGATGCCGCGGCGGCGCGTCCAAGACGCAAGCGAAGCTCCTTATGCAGGTTCGCGCAGCCCCAACACTCACAACTCACGGCTCGCACTCATCAAGCAGACTCGAAGACATGCACCATGCATGCATGCATGCACATCGTCCAGCTGTACCTACGCCTTGACCGTCATTTCCTCCGTATCTCACACAAAGTCGCCGAGAGCTAGGTCAGTCGGCATGGGTCAACACATCATATCATGATTCCGGTAGACAATCCTTTTCGGACTCATGACTCGCAGTTGCAAAGGCCTCTCACTTAAGGACCGGCCTGCCCCCATAGCCAACCCAGTGGAGAGAGGCAGTCACACAGTAGTATATGTACACCTCAAATTCGCTTTGGATTCAATAACGAATGCGAGATGCATCGGGGAAAGCACCTGATCGAGTCAGACACAAGATTCGTTTCAACGACCCATCCGTTCAAGTGATGAAGGCAGACGACAAAGATGTTTGTCCCTAGTCAAGCTTCATTCTTGATTGTTTGTGCAAGGTCTCGAATTTGCGAAGACCACAAGCGATAAGTAATTGAAGGTTTCATCGGCGCTGAGTCATCAAGCAATCTCGAATTTTGAATGGGAAGCCGTGACGGTAGCCGGTCCTTCAAGTTTGGTAATTGCCTCAATCATGAAGCGTATGAAACCTGAATAGCCACGACCTCGCTGACGCTCACTCTCGGCTCAAAGTGCTGCTCGTCTTGTCCAGCTAGAAGCTTGGTGCGGCGGCATGCAAGGCTCAAAGTAGGATGACCATGTTGCATGCTGCATGACTCTGCTGATTGAGGAAGGGTGTCTTTTAGGGCCTTACGAGTCGTCACGCCTCGGGAATAAGCAATCATTAACTCTGGTTGCACATGCATTTAGTGTCAGTTTCTTGATTCAGATTGATGAGCCAGATCTCAAACTCATTGACACAGATTCGTCAAGACGACTGTGTGCTCTCGTCTCTCGTAAGCCATGACAGCTGTGCTGCATGACGATCAAGAATGCCTCATCAGCCCTATGGCATCGTGAGGCGCAGAGTAGCGGAATGCGCACTTGCTCTGCTGTTGTGCAATCTGTCTGATCTGATGCAAACTTTGCAGCTTGCTTTGCTTGTTGCACGGGACGTTGTGAGGACCATTTCCTCCATCGAATATTATTGGTAAGTCGATACGTGCAGTGCGTGACTCTCAATGGCAGCGTCCAGGATCGAGCACGATTCACTATTCCGTTGGAGGCATGCAGCAAGAGAACAAGATCTACAAATTTACAACGATGCATGCAGGATCACGTACGACGTAGCGTGAGTGGATGAGGAGATTGACCGAGGATGAGCCGACTACGTCTACGGTTGGGAATGCAGCTTGGAAGCGCGGACGTGAAGGGGACCTTGACGTTCGACGAAGTGAGCTTCGATGCCCCTATCGAACGAAGCAGAAGATGGCCTCAATTCCCGGTGGCACACTCTCGTCACGGTGCTCGTCAACGTGGATCACGACTGCGGAGCTGAGATGACTTGTCCCACCTAGACTGGTCGATGGATCGTCTTTTGCCGATGCAGCCACGTGAGCCTCGAACCAACGCGAGTTACATCAAGAATGCTTACACACGTGATCACCAAGGCAAGAATGCGAGGCAGCAATCTTGAATCTCATCAACGCAAGACGAGTCCAGCATCATGACTCACACGACTCATCAGGACTTCATTCATTTGCCGCCTGCCCTGCGCCGAACTGTGAAACCGCCGCTCGACGCGGCCTAAGGTGAGCATATGCAGCCCTGCCAAAGCCTTTAGCAGTGAGTACATCGAAGGTAGATTGCGCTTTCGACTCGACTCGTTCTGTGCCATGTTTCTTTATTCCTGATCTCTGATTGGGCAGCCGGCTATTAGTTAAAGTTCTGATGAGCTGCGATGGCGCGAGTAAGTCGAAAGATTTCCATGGGAGGCTGTTTCTGCGAAATGAGTCAGGGGAGGAGAGGGAACAGTGACACAATGATGGCTCAAGAGACTTGATGAGGCCTGGATATGGGAGACAAGCTTCGAGAGGGATGATGACGACAGGAACCAAAATCGCGCGCGGCGTACTCAGCAGGACCTCAAAGCACGATTAGGTTGTATTCACTCGCTCATCAATTCTGATTCAGATTCCGACTTACGGTTATCCACGAGTCGTGCACACAATGTATCATTCAAATTCGGAGCTCCGCTCCCAGAACATGCTGCATGCAGTAAGCATCAACAGCAGCTCTGTATGCAGTCACGAGTCAGAGGTATATAGCAGACCCTGCTTCGGCTTGCAGCACGCGTGCCTCCTGCAACTTGGCGTTGCCTCAAGCCGCTGCGCCGCTGTTGCTGCTGTGCATCACCGCTTCACACCGACTTTTGACTCTTGGAATGCCTTTCGGCGCATGGCGCTCTCGCGTGCCTGCCGCGCGCAGCATGAACACGGGCATTTTTCTCCCCATTTGATTCACGCTTCACAATCTTCAATACAAACTGCGGCGACGGCGGGCATCGTGCAGAAAAGGAACGATTAGCGCGAATCGCCCGCATTCGAGATGCGTGCTCAAACTGAAATCGTGAATTTGAGTCACGAGTGTTTGAGCAACGCGGCTTGGCCCTCACTCACTATGCCTCGCTCATCCTCGAGACTGTACCGCGGGTGCCGGTACCTAGCTTGCAAGTGAGAACGTCGCACTCGGCGATTCCTGCCTTCTTACCGCGCTCTCGACCCTTCCATTCCCCATTCGCCTTCCTCTCATGCGACCCAAAACCGCACCATCCGGCACAATCTGAGCTTCTCTCACCCGTTCCATACGCTCGCCGTCATTGCCGGATCGCTCGAGCAGACCTTGACTCTCGCGTACTTTGATTGGCGCGGCTGATGGCGCCCCTCTGTGACGGCCATCTCTGTCTGCGCCCAGCTATACAAAGGTCACTCTTCGCGGCGACAGCTCACCACTACACACCTGCCAGCCTTTGCAAGTATCAATTTGGCATCATCTAGACACGCGCAGCAACGAGGAGGCAGCGAGCAGCAGTCTGCGTCGCTGAGGGATCACTACTACCTTTGTCCTGACGAGCTGCGGACTCGTGGACTGGTACTGCTTGCCTCCGGTGTGCAGCCAGTGCACCACTCCCCTCTCGTGCACAATAGTCTCACCCATCCCACCTCATCTCATCCCTTGCGCACATCTTGCTGGGACAATCTCACCCCAAGCGTCTTGTAGTCGCATAAGGTTCTTTCAGGGCCACGCTCTATAGCTTGCAGCGCGATGGTGTCTGGACGGCGCTCGTTGAAGGACTCACGCTGGTCGCTTCCCCTCTCCATGTGGAGAAGGAGCGTGGTGTTAGTCCTGCTGACATCTCTCACACTGTCAGCACAAGCTCAAGAAAGTGGGCAGGGCGCCTCTTCATCATCAGCATCGGCGCCAGGGACGACCCCCGTCCTGAACAATCCCACAGCATCGGCGTCTCAGTCTCCTGCTGCTGCTACGAACGTGTCGGGTGCTACCACCAGCAGTGGTGCCGTTCCTACTAGCACAGCAGTGCCAGTCGTCGATCTCGGATCCGCAACAGTGCCATTTCTGTATGCACAACCATCAGCCCAAGCTACGGCCACAGCGTCGGGCGCTACGAGAGCCTCACGCCGACCCATCACAGGTCCAGCATTCAAAGGCTGTCAAGCTTCCAAAATCACCCGGTACGCTCAACCTGAAAGCTTGCTCAACGTATCGGCTGTATGGTCTCAATTCGATACCGACCTCTCGGCCACCTATCAGGGCATTGACCCGCCCTCGTACGGTACGCTGCGCATGGTCAGTCTGGCGGCAGTGGACAAGCAAAGCTTCGCGTTCAGTAGCGCTTCGGGCTTTATTAGTAAGTCGGGGGCAGGGTGTGGCGTGGGAGCAGAGCAATGGAAAGGCTGAGGCACCTTCTTTTGGCATGCAGGTGCGATACAAGTGCAGTCAGAGATTCTCACTGTGCCGATCTTCAGCAACACGACGTTTGTCTGTGATCGACTGTTTCCCACGCAGACAGATAGTCAGAACCCGGGCGTTACTGGCACATGCCAGTACGGACCTGGACAGGTGGCTTTCGGCGTTGACATACCTCTCAATCAGTCTTACGAAGCTACGACGTTGTGGACTACGATTACTCTGGTGGACCCTACTAGCCCAGCTCTGACGCTCGCCTGCATCGAAGTACCGGTGACTCCCTACAACGCGGATCGGTGGTACTGGAGGGTGGTGCTATGGATACCCATCGCATCAGCGATCGCATTCTTTGTGCTGGCCAGCATCGCTGCACTCACTACAGCGGTCACCTCGAGGATACGCGCATTCAAACACCGGGCCAGGGAGGGGGGTGCGCCGACCTTTATAAAGGATAAGCTGTCTCCGACCCTCATATCTAGTCTCAGCGGCCAAGGCGCCGTCATGAGCCCGGCACTGCTTCGATTCGTCACACCAGGATGCTGGGATATCATTCATCACCTTCAATTCGTCGCGGGGGTTGCAATGCTGGCACTCAGGTGGCCCGATTTCGCATACTTGTTCTTCAAACAAGCTGCTTGGTCCACCCTCGTTGGCAACGTGACACTTGTTCAGAACTCGACCATAGATGCTCTGGAGACTGGTGCGCGCCTGCCGGCTGGCGATGTCGGCACGCAGATGGGTGTTCGAGAGTCACCACTGTATCTCGACCCCGCAATGCCCAATCAGCTCCTCGACATGGGCAATGTGCATACCGGGATCGAGGCTTTCGCGCGAATAGTCGGTCTTCGAGCGTCCGAGCTCTTTGGAACATGCTTGGCCATCTGGCTCATCATAGTGGCTGCGCTCTGTGGCATCAGCGTCGTAGCTTGGCTCACTGATCTCATTGGCGAGTCCTGGGCCAAGAGGCAAAACGACGACGGGCTCGTGGGCTTGCAACCTGCTTCGCGTAGGAGCAGCGAAGACGTCGGTAGGTCCGGCTCGCTGCATGCGGAAGGCGAGCTGAAGGCAGGTCTTGTCGTTGACGAAGATGGAAACATGAGGGAGACTAAGCGCAGCGGCTACGCTTTCCTTGGAGTACTTCCTGGATTCCGGCCTGGCGGCCGCATGCACACCGGTCTCAGCTTCCATCTCAAGGTACTCCACGGTAATCTTGTTCGCGCCTTAGCACTCTTCCATTTTCCGATTACCATCTTTAGCGTATACCAATTCGCAAGAGCCAGCTCCCACTCGACCACGTCGGTCGCTCTAGCGGCGCTGGCTTTCGCCATCCTATCGATCTTGGCGCCAATCTACCTCATTGTGCGCATCGCACGAACTGAAACTTCCAAGCTCTACGATGATATCGGCACCTTGGTGGCTCTTGGACCTGTCTATAACACCTACTCACCTGGCTCCCAGCTCTTCTTCATCGTTAGCTACGCGCACAGCCTCATCTTGGGTATAGTGATCGGCGCGGCACAGCAGAGCGGATCTGCGCAAGCGATCTTGTTTGTCGTCTTAGAGCTGCTCGCTGGCCTCGCAGTTGGTCTCTGGCTCCCATGGCCGGAAGGCGCATGGATGGGACCCGTATCATTCGCGACAAGCGTGATTCGTATCATCACTGCAATCCTCGCCGTCCTTCTGACGCCGGTGGTCAACTTTGGCCGCCAAGCGACTGGGTGGCTGACATACGTCGTGCTTCTGATGCAGGGCATCTTCTTTGCGATGATGCTGTTCGCGATTGTGGCCAAGATCCTCGAAGCCTTGATCCGTCTCGTATGGCGGGTGCCTTTCGACGATCGCGTCTCACCACGAACAGCCGGCCTCGGCGGGGCCATCAGGAGGATACGCAGACGGAAGTACAAAACGTTGCAGTTGCGCCGCAAGGAAAAGAACGTGCGCGAAAAAGGACACCGCTCAGACGACAGTAGCGTGCGATCACCCATCATTGTGCAAGGGTCTGGTCCTGCGGGTCGAAGTCCTGCCTCGGCCGGAGCCATACCGCTCACTCATTCCCGACAAGGCTCGTATGCTAGCTACCTCGACAGCCGGCTGTTTGCCAATGCAGCACAGGCTAGCCCTGCAGGTACCGCCTCGCGCCCTTCGCCGGGTGCTCGATCTCCGGATTTGATAGGCTCTGCAAATCCTTACTCTGTCTACTACCGCACTGCGCCCGATGACGACGATCACATCATGGCTGCATTACCGCCGCAATCGCCGGGATGGTCGGCACCGACCAGTGCAGCGCTCACACCCATCGGGGCCATTGACGCGGTGAGGTCTGGCGGTACGCCGATCAACAGTGACGCAGCAAGCTCCCCTGCACCTGCAGGCTTTGTACGTGTGGGAGGCGGGAAGGCGACCGAGGCTAACCCTTACTCAACGCTGCCCTCATCATCGCGGCCTCAGCTGCCACACAGCACCAAGAGTCGCAGAAGTCTTCAGGCGCACATCGCGTTGTGGGGCGAAGAACCTGGCGCAATGGCCATGGATCCTCGCAACGCCGTCTACGCGGATGAGGAGGAAGATCGACGGAGGCAAGCGGCAGTAACTCTTTCCAGCACAGGAGCGGCCGCTGCAGCTTCTTCGGCTGCAAGAGGGCAGACAGCCCTAAAGCAGGCGGGCAAGCGTCCACGCGTGGATTTCCCAATGTGGAATCGGCGACAGAATGAGTCGGTAGCGCCAGGAGAGAGCGAAGATTGGAGCGATGAGGAGACGACGTGGGAGACGAGTGCTGCGGCGCGAGGCAGAGGTCCGTGGGCTGGAGTCGCTAAGATGAGCGCGCTGCTCCGTCGCCTGGGAGGAGCGAAAGAGGTCAATGCAGATGGAACTTTCTCGTCCAGCGGCACCGAATCCATACCTCCTGCACCAAATTCGGGCAAAAGCTTCCAAGTGGTTAGGGCACCTCGACCTGGAGGTGGAGGAGGAAGCGGACCTCGGACTCCCGTTGAACAAGCCACGTCTTCGAAACCTGTGGCCCAAGGACAATCTTCTTCTGTCGAGCCAGACTCCACCGCGCTAGCAGCAGCAGCAGCTGCCGCTGCGCAAGCCAACGTTCCTCCTTCAGCTCAGAAGGAATGGAGAGAGAGCAGCTTGGAGACCTCGCCAAAGGCCAAAAGGAAGAGCCTTGCTAGCATGAAGGAGCTGAAGCACGATGAAGCGCTAGCTCAAGCTCGCTTGGGTATTCTTGGTGCTGACATGGAAAGAGCATCGAGTGCTGGGCATTCGGATGCGGAAGAGAATGCCGATGACGCATTTTGGCTCGCAGGCCCGGCTCGTACCGGCGGTGAAGGTGTGGTCCAATCCTCCGACTCGCCCCCTGGTAGTGCAGCCAAGAGGGCGCAGCAGAGCTCTTCGAGCAGCGGCGACACTAGCCTTGGTCGGAAAGCCCCAACAAGCGCTAGGTTTGTTCAGGTCCTTCAGCCAGACGGTACTTCCTCCACCCGCAGCGGTCGCGTATCTGATGCTCCGCCACATCTCGAGTTCAATTTCTGATGCTGCAATCTGCTGCGCGCTTGGGGTGGCAACCTCCAATATGGCCCGCACATCCACCTTCTTTTCCTTTATATTGCACGAAAGTCATGCCTGACCAGTCTACGACCATGAACGAGACACGTATATCACCTTGCAGCCCCCAAGACACTTCATCACCCCTCGTCACATTGTCACGCGCCGCGAACCATTACGATTCCGAAATCTCTCGCAAGCCTCGCCTTTTATGGGCCTCCTCCTCACCCTTCCAGCCCACTTTTGGACCTCCCCCACCCCCACTTCCCACCATAAAATGTAGTGTCGCGCTACCAGCCGCTCGCGTCATCTGCGAACGCGCACGCTGAACTTCAAAGTTTGATTGCGACCCCCATACACATCATCAATTCACACATACATCTCTCTTTGCTCTTACATGGACAATGCATTCTGCTCACTCTCATCTTTCATGAGCCCAAGGCGCGCTTGTAGAAGCAAAGTGGATCAGTCTTGAATGGATGAACTGGTCGAATCCTTTCCCCATTCACACGCTTCGAGTTCTATCGCTCTGGTGAGGTCGTTCATCACTGATTGATTCGAGAGCACAGCGTACAAGGTGCAAATTGAAGGAGGTACAAGCGAGATGGGAGTGTGTGTTGAAGTTGATGCCGGGAAAGAGGTGGGCCATTTGGACGAGTATGGAGTATAGGAAATGGGCAAGTCGGGAAGGGAAGCTTAAAGTTGACTGCCTAAGCATCGTTGATGAGGGAGGAAATGTAAATGGTGAGACCTTGGTCGTGCAAGTCTGCTCTGATGCTGGATGCATCGGCATTGTGCGGAATAGAGAGGAGAAGGGGAGGAGGAGGAAGAGTGGATGGTGCGTTTGAAGGTTTGGGTGGAGCATCCACGTCGATGCGGATGTATCCTTCTTCCTCCTCTGCATTTCTTTCCGCCGACTTGAGCGAAGCTTTGCCCAGTTCCTCCTTCTCCAGCTCAG